GGATAAATAAATGGCTAGAGGTAGAAATCAAGGCATTACAGTTTGATTTCATCAAACATTTATTCATCTACTAAGGTATTCAGGCGTTGGGTTAGGAAACTGCGTTAGGATTGTGAAACACAGTTCCTACCCTCAGATTGCTCACAGTCTGGTCAAAGTTATGCAGAAACAGTATCAACCATGGCTTAGGCGCTAAGGCACAGGGATAAGGGGTACCTAACCCAGGTGTGGGAGCAGGTAGGGCAGCAAAGGCTTTCTGGAGCAAGGGGATCCCTGAAGTGAGCCTTGAAGGATGAATTAGCCAGATAGAAGACCGTATGCAAGGGAGGAAGAACAGAAAACAGAAAAGAACAGAGGTGTCATTGAGGAACTAACTGCAAGTCGTGAAGTGTGGTAGGAGCAGAGGAGAGCGGTGGGTGGGGAGAGGGAAAGCCGGGGCTCTGGACAAGGGGGCTGAAGACACGTTATGTGTGTTAGATGCCTACTTAAGAGTTAGAATTGTCCCCCTTGTTAGGCTGTGGGCAGTAGTTGAGTTTAATCAGGGAAGTGGCATGATGAGATTTGTGTTTAGAAAGATCAAGCTCTAAGAGTAGTAAGAAGCCTGCATGGGAAGAGGGGTAGACTGAAGGCAGGGAGATAAGTAGGAGGCTGAATGCAAAATAATAAGGTCAGAACCGAATTTGTGGTGCTAGGGATGAAAAGAAAGGCCACACTTCAGTGAAATCAAAAAGACTTGCTTCTGGTTTGGTGTGGTGTTGAGTGAGAAGGAGGAGTCTTGGAAGGACTCCAGACTTCCATCAAATTTGGGTTTAAATCTGGACACTTCAGCTTGCTAGCTCTGGTGACTTTGGGCAAGATACTTAGCCTCACCTGGTCTTAGTTCCCTCATCTCTGCAAAGGAGATTAAAATATCTTGTCTTGAGGATGAAATGAGCTAAGAATATATGTAGTTGCCTGATAAGACACCACAGAGTAAGTTTTCAAGAACTGATACCTCTTTTACTGGTTATAAAGTTTAACCACATTTCACCAAGTAAACAAACATGGTAGAATGAGTACTAGAATCCAGGCTTCACACATACAGGGATTTTTATCTCCTTTGCCCATTTACAGTTTTCCCCCAGTGCCTAGAATAGTGCCTGGCACATAGTAGACACTCAGACATTTGCTAAATGAATTAGTGATTCGATTTTAAGAATTTAATTTAGTTTTGGTCTTTTAAGATAGAGAAATTTGTAGGATATCTAAATGGAGATGACCATTATTTAGCATTTGGATATTTTGATCTGGAGTTCAGGAGAGATATCTGGACCGGATATAGAAATGTGGGGGTCATCAAGGTAAATGGGTGGTAATTGAAGCTATGTGATGGATTACATCACCTACAGCAAACGTGTCAGTCAACAGGAGGCCTCGGGAACTAAGGACCAATGTTTAACTTTTTTGAGATGTGTACCCTTTTGAAAATCTGATGAATACCGTAGATCCTCTCTGCAGAGAAATGCACATAAAAATAACAAATTTCCACCAGGGTACCTGTGTGAGGAACTATATACCTTGGGTTAAGAACCTGTGGTATGCAGTAGAAACAGGTCTGAAGATGGCACCTCAAGCAATACCAACATAGAAGGTGGGCAGAGGAAAAAGAGTAAGATGGGGAAGCGAGTTAACAGGAAAAGAGGAAAATCAAGAAAGACTCAGAATACGTTTCATTTGAAGCTGAGAATAAGTGTTTCCAAAACGAGGGAGTGCTAAATGCCGCAGACAAGTCAAAGAAGATATAACATGTCCATTGACTTTGGCCATCAGAGGTCTTTGGCGACTTTAATAAGATCCATTTCCATTGAGTGGTATGGGGGAAAGGAAGCTGGAGTTCTGGGGATTACATAGAACACTGAGCAAACAATGAAGACATTGAGACAACTAGGAGAAGTTCCTTCATTTGTTTATTTATTAACATATTTATTGAGTACCTACCATGTATCAGGCACTGTGCTGGAAGCTGGAGGTTGATCCACAAGGGTGGATGTGGTCTCCTCCCTTAGCTGACGTTCTTATTGTCTGTTTGCCTGCCTACCTCCCCAGCCCCCTCACTCCTGCCCAGAAAATGCCCTGAAATGCGTTTCTCCTGGGTACCACTGGGCACACTCAGCCACCAGGGGCCTCCAGTTGTTTTGCTGGGTCAGATCCAGACTGTTCAATTGCTCTTCTCTCACTTGGGCACGAGGGAGCAGATTGTCCTCTGTAACACCACCCTTTAAAGTTAGGGACACACATCAAAATATCCTTGAGTTCGTGCAGTGCTCACTATGATCAGTGAGTTTATGAAAATTATTTTAATACTTTTTTTTTTCACTTTTAGCTCACACTAACTCTTTCTTGTGGTAATGACTTTTATAAGTTTATTATTTGCAATATAAAATAGTGGTCCTAAATGTAGAAAAGAGGCATGAATACCAGGCCTAGGGAAACCTTTATCCTAGTCCTAGACTTTTTGCATGTGGGAATCCGTTATTTTTATTTAAAAAATCTCTTCTTGGGGCTTTGTTGTCTTTCCATACATATGGAGTTTTGCAAGCTTCAAGACAGCCATGGCTTTCATAAGACTAGCATGTGTGTGAGTGTGAGTGAGTGTGTGTGTGTGTCGGGGGGAGTGGGGGACTCTGTCTTGGTGCTCCTGGTTTTTTGCCCCTAGCACTATTGTGGACCAGCGGATTCAGAGAATGGTATACAGTGATTCTCAGTTTATTTCTTATATTAGAACTGAAAGCGTACATAATTATCCCATAAATATGATTTAGATTTTCCCCAAAGCACACTGCATTGCCCCTGCTTCCAGTGAAACTCGCCTACCTCTTTTCTGCTTCCTCACTTTGTCTTTAAAATTTTTTGACTGCATTTTATCTCCAGATTGGCTTTTTAGTTGCAAATTCAGAGAATGTAATATGTTCTATCTTCCAGATCATTTCTAAAAATGTTAAATAAGAACAAGTTCAGAACCAATCTATTCCTTTTCTCTTAATGTTTTTTTCTAATGTTTAAAGATCCCATTCTTTTGTACATATTTCTTTACACGTACAGGTTATACTAAAAGTATACTCATAGCTGTAAAATGCTCAGAACAATGCCTGACATATTGCAGGTACTCAGTAAATAGCAATGACTGTGCCAGTTTCTCCAGGCTCTCCAGATTGTTTGGTAGTTCCTGTGTTCTTTTCAGAATTGTTAAAATGATTATTAATTTGGATGGGAGCATGATGGTGGTTCATTGGCAATGTGCCAACCAACATTACTATATGGCACTTTTTTTTTTTTTCTTTTTCTTTTTTTTGCGGTACACGGGCCTCTCACTGCTGTGGCCTCTCCCATCGCGGAGCACAGGCTCCGGACGCGCAGGCCCAGTGGCCGTGGCTCACGGGCCCAGCCGCTTCACGGCACGTGGGATCTTCCCGGACCGGGGCACGAACCCGTGTCCCCTGCATCGGCAGGCGGACTCTCAACCACTGCGCCACCAGCGAAGCCCAATATGGCACATTTTTTTAAAGCTTGGTTATACATTTTGCCAAATAATCCTCATTGAGACAGCAAAAACTTAAGTATTCTCAGTGTGATTTGTGATTTTTAATTTTGATTTCTTTATGTGTTTATTTTAAAAGTAGAAAGCTCAATTTTGGAATTAATCTCTTTGTTCTTCAGGTAATCTATTAGAGATTATAACATAAATATAACTTAAAATATATAATAAAACCTTTAGAATAGGATCTTATTTATTAGAATACTAAAAAATTAGAAAATCTTTATTTTTATGAGACAAACATCATAAACTCATCAGACATTCACATAGATTACTTTATTTGAATATATAATAATAGAAAGTAGGGAGATATGACATTTATATACAGAGGTCAAAGACTTTTCCAAGATCACTTGTAAAGGGCAGAATTATGACTTTGACCAGGACTTCTGAACTGAATCACACCTTTATGCTTCTTTTCATTATGACTTTTTACAAAAAGAACTTAAAAGAAACTCTTACATTCAGTAAACATTCTCCCAAACCTCCTGTGTCTATAGCACTCTATAGTAACAATGACTAGTTATAGTAATGACACATGTCCAGTGTGTGTACAAGAAAGGGTTTATGTTTTTCAGTAGAGGCTGAGATGCAGAAGGCTGGGGAACGCAAAGGGTAAATTCTCAGTTAATCAGAATTTTAAATGAAGCTGGAAGCCTTGAGCAGCCAAATTTGTATCCACCTTTAGCTTCTTAAGCAGTCATGTTTGTAGATACCTTTTTCAGAATCCCCAGGTTTTTTACAGTAGAAAAAAAGAAGCACTTAAATCACCTCCCTCCTCTCTTTTTGTCCTTTGCAGTCATTAGACTAGTTTAGGGCAAGCAGTTTCTTGCATATTTCCATTCCTTGAAAACCTTCCAGTCAACCCATCATTGAGCAGCTCTTCTCATCTTTTATTACATCCGCTGCATCTATAAACAGTACATCATTGGAAATTTTTTTTAATAGTTTCTGTTTCGCTCCTTATTTATTATCAGGTATTCTTAGATGGAACGTTTTAAATCTGTACTTACTGTGGTAAGCTGCTGTGAATACTTCCCGTGCCGTAAAATTAATGCCACCATCGGAGAAACTCCTTAAAATATGCGGGCACATGGCGCCTGCCCTTCCCTCTCTCCCCGCCTCCTTCCCTCCTCCCCTCACACTCACACACACACACACACACACACACACACACGCGCGCGCGCGCGCGCGCGCGTGCGCAAAGCACACACCAAACTGCCATTCTCCAGCAGGCCTGTTTCTGGAGTTGGGAGATGTCAGCCAGCCGGGAGGGGGTGGGAGGAGGAGGAAGAGGTGGGGCTCTACTCTGATTAATTACCTTAGGCATTCGGGGGTGGGGCTTCCTTCAGCCATCTGCCTGAGATATGGGAGGGAGCTGGAGAAAGGAGGAGGGGGAGAGACTGCCAGAGAGGAAGAGAAAAGAAAGGAAGAAACACTAGAAAGAAAAAGGAAGGAAAACGGGATAAAGGGAGAACAATCACCCACCCTTTAAGAGCTAGACTTGGGGGGGGGAGGGGGGTGGAAAGCAAGCTGTGGAAGGTGTGCCCCAGCGCGACCGCTTTGAAGTGTTCATCATCTGTTCCATTTGGTTTATGGAGAAAAAGAAAATGGTAACTCAGGTAAGATCTGTGTTTCCTCCGTGCGTTTCTTTTCTCGTTTCTGAGATCTAAATAAGATGGGGGGGGTGGGGCATAGTCACCAGAGTTTTAATTATTATTGTCTTTTTAGAAAGGGCCAGAATTATTGTTATCAGCTGGAAAGTGTTAGTCTGTGCCTGTTGTGAGTCCGTGTGTGTGGTGTATCCGTATCCTTTTTTCTCTCCCCTCCCTTAGCTCCATAGCAGATTCCTGTTTCCTGTACTGTGCAGCTGTAGCTCAGGAAAGACCCTGTGGGGATTTGTCTACCTCTTTGTCTTGGTTCTGAGAAGAGGGAGGGAGAGAGAGACTGCAGAGGTAGGAAGAGATTCTTGTAGACTGCCAAAAAGAGGGGAGAGGGATTGACTTCCCTTTAAGAATTGCAGAAGAATTTGTGTTATAAGGAAATCTGATTCCTGATTCGCTTTGGTTTCTCAGAATTGGCAATGGACTTGCAGTTTTGCTGCCTTTGCTCTAAATGGCTTATTAAAAATGAAGGCTAGAAAAATGTTTCATTTTCATGTCTTTGTTACTGGCAAAGAGTGTTTTCTGTGAGAACATAGAAGCATCCAGGTGCAGCAGAGGCAGGTAGAGCCCTCCCTGGCAGAAGAACAAGTCTGAATATATAAATGACAATCACACGGGCATTAAGAGACGTCTGAAGGAGAGGGAGTAGGAAATGGAAGACCTCTCCCTCTCTCTCCCTTTCCCTCTCTCTCTCTCCCTCCCCCTCTCCCTCTCCCTCTCCCTCCCCCCGCCCCCCGTACCTCTCTCTCTCCCCCTGTCTTTGGTTATACCAGGCAATATCTGCATTTTAGCAAGTCATTCCTGACAAATGGAAAGGTGAATACTCTTCCCCAATTTCCCCTGGCAGTGCTCTTTTTCTTCTTGGCACCTTTCTGTATGTTCCTTTTCCCTTTTTTCTTTATATATAGGTTGAGAGGAAACGATGAGACTGTGATTTATCAATGAGAACTGTTTGCATTGTGGAACGTTCATGTCCTTTAGTCTCAGACTTAAGATCAGTTTCACTCCAGGCTTTTATGCTCTATAGGGAAATTTCATCACTGGACAGTGCTTTCCTTTTAAGGAGGTTGCCCCCCCCCCCCCCCCCCCCCCCCCGCTTTTTTTGTATTCTCTCATCTCTTTTCCTAAGTCACCACCGGAGGGCGAGAGAGTCAACTGGCTATCTGGATAGAGGCATCATTTTAGGAACTGGAACCCTGTTCTGTTAAATGTTATATAATGCCCCGCAGTGCTGTTTGGAAGGAGGTAAAGCTTTAAGGAGATTTTCCCAGCATGACCAAGAGGAAAGGGAAGTTTCAAAGAATATGTCTTTCCATAGTAATTTTTCAGCAGATCTGAGTTTGGAGATTATTAAGAAACCCCTCCCTCTTCTGGAAAGTGGAGAAACCCTTGAAATATTTTCTCTTCCACTTCTTATCCCTTCATCGTCAGCCTGATTAACTCTTTTGAAATATTGCTTTACTTTTTAAAAAAGAGAAAACATGTTTCTGGCTTCTCTTTGTTGCTTGGGAGATGATACTTAAACTTGGAGCCTCGTTTAGTTTTCATTAATTGACCATATTAGAGGGTACCAGCTCTCTTCTTTCTCAGCTGTTACTGGAGCCTTTTCAACTACTTGACTTTTCACTGTATGTATTGTATATATTTTTAAATCAGTGAAAGAGTTATCTAAACTAGGACTTCTTAATGATCAGAGGCTTTCCGTGGCCTCTTGGAGCCTGTCCCCTTAGTTTCTAGAGCAGCTGAGTAAACGTGTGCAAGCCCAAGTTCAAATGCACAAGCATTTGCACACTTAATATCTTGGTCTTAGTAATAAGTATTTAAGGAAGCTATAATTTTAGGAATGAAGCAGAAGAGATAAATAGAAACTGGAAAGAGGCAGTTGGGGGAGGTTAAGAATTCTAATAGGTAAGTCAAAATCATTATGATTTTCTCAGTGTGTGTGAATGCTGAAGGAAACAAGGAACTCATTTTTGCCCATCCTGAATTTATACAAATGGAAAGTATAGAATATCAAACTTGTGAATTTTCAATATTCCAGCATGTTTGTTTTTTGTATACACTTTCTATGTTAATGTAACATACATAAAATAGCAAGATAGGCCAAATCTTTATTTGTCCTATGGTTTTGTTTGTTTTTTTTTGGTCGGGGGGTAGTTTTTGGTTTTTTGAGCTAGACGTCAATCCCAATATTTGATAATGATCTGTCACATAAGCTTTCTGAATAGAAAATGTCTGCAGTGTTTAGGGTTCACTTATCAAAGTTAAACAGTTTATTGTGGTATTTAGTATCTTAACAAGTATATTAAGAAAAGTATTTAGATATGTTTTCATCATTTTGTCACCTAGGTTCTTTGCATCTTTGATCTTAACATTTCTATATCCCGTGGTTTCCATCGCTCACTGGTGGAAGGTGAAGGGCCTTCAGTGGATGACATTTTCATCACGTTTAGATCCATATTTGTAGCTGCACGGTGTACACACATTGTTACTATATATGCTCTGGTTTTATAAGGCCTGTTTTTGGTTTATAAGGCTCTGTTATTTACAATAAGTTATCAGAGTTTTGCTTTAAAAAAAAGCAAATGGCTGTTTAATTACAGAATTCTAGTATAGTAGACAGACATGCTCATGTGACTTTTTAAAAAATAACTTTAGGTTTATCTGTCATTCCTGTATATGTTACAGGAGTATTTCACTGAGGTACTCTCTTCTTTCAGAGCATGTGAACCAAATTATTGCATCTCCTCACATCTGTGAAAATAACAATGTGGAATAAAAGGAAGGAGAAGAGATACATTCTTGTAATATGTGTCAAATTAGACAAAGTTGTAAATGACTTCAACTCCAATTAATAAGAAAGGTTATACTATTTGTTGCTGAAAGGGAAAGTATACTAGGCAGAGAGGAAAAGATTTTACAGTGTGGACGTTAAAGAAAATTTTTGTTCTCTCCTATAGTGTAAGACTGCCAGTTTCTGTGGAACACAAAGCCCTCCCTTTCTTGGACAGCTCAGTGCTTTGCTGGCATTTTCTTCAAAATCTGTTTTCCATTAGGACCAAGAGGAGGGAAGGTGTTAAGAATAAGGGAGGTTGGAAAGGAGGTTGCTGTTCCTTTAAATAGTGCGGTGGGGGGGCGGGGAGCCCAAGTAGCGGCAGGCCACTCCGGAGTGTATTCTTTTGTAATGAATCACCACCAGTTCTATTGTCTGCTATCTCCACTCTTTGTAGCTGGAAGGCCGAAGTCTTTTACCTGAGCTGTGGCCAGGTCCCTATTCGTTCCAGGGTGGCTGGGAGGAGAAAAGAGGGAAGGTATTTTATGCTTTAATTAAAGACCGGTAAGAGAGCAGGTATGTTTTGCTTTGTTTCATTTTCTATTATCCTTTCTGGTTTTTTTTGTTTTTTTGAAATGAATTGGAGTAGGGAATCTATTCTCTGATTTTGCTAAGCGTATCCCATTTTCTGTGCATTTTGAAGGTCCTCAGTGACTATTTAGTCTCCATTTTGTGGCAGTGCTTTCAAGTGATTCCATTGGGTTGCCAGCCAGGTCCCCCCCGAGCCCATCCCACCCTTCATCCACAGAGCTTCAGCCCACACTGTTGGCTTTGGCTCACTTCCACTTTCTATGGGCTGCAGAGGACTCTGGGAAGTTGGGGGGTAGGTGGAGATTGGGTTTGAGGCTAATTTATGCTCCTTTACAATGAACCAAAAAAAGCCTCACTTTTTCCAGAGCTTTGGTTTCTTTCTGAATTCTTCTACATTGCTCCTTATCGTCAGTTATAACCGTTTCCTTGCCAAGGCCAAGGCTGGCCCTTGAAAAATACTGCTATTCTAAAAATTACTCAGTTCCCCTGAAAAGATACCCAGAATTCCATATAAGTAATTAAATCTGAGCAATTTTGATTTACTAAATGGTTTTTCTTCCCAGTCACCTCCCATGCCCCAAAACACACACCTTTTTTTGGCTCCTTCCTTTTATTTTTTTCCTTTATCTTTCTTCTTAGTTTTGTAGTCGAGACTAGGAAAGCTTAGTGTTTGACAAACTGCTATTCAGGATTGTATTGCTACGGAGCACACCTCCATGTTGAAAGGGAAAGGACACTCCTCACCCCTCTCAGTGGCTTAGCTCAAAGTCCTGATTTTGTTCCTCCAGTTTTCTGTTCTTCCCTGAAAATTTTCACACTCACATCCAAAAGATTGCCATTTGGGAGCAATCTCATTTCTCTTTTGACTTCTGGTTCGTGGACTGCTCACATTTTAACTTCTCTTCATGTAATACCTTACCTTGGTTTGTTTCTTGGGCATCTATCTGTATGTGACTGTCATGGTGGTGATACAGCCCCACAGCCCTCAAGCATCCTTTTGGTGTACAGTTCCTCTCTGGAATCTAGCATTGTTGGTATCTGAAGCATTCCCTTCTGGAATCATAATTCCTCCCTTTCTTCCCCAACATTGCAAAACCACTGTCAAATCTTTCTTAAACGTTTCTAAACAGTGCTTCCTATGTGAAATCTAACGAACACAAATGGAATGCTCCCCTGCAGTGAAGGCTTTGCTGTTTCCAATGCAGCAACTTCATTATTGGGTTTGGATGCTCAACTTCCAAGCAGAAATGTTTCAGTCTGCCATCATGATGTATGTTTCCATTTCCCAGATATGCAAATGTCCCTCTATTACTAGTAGAATGATTAAGTTCAGGAAATCTTGGAGTCAAATAATTCATTAGAGGTCATTGCCAGAGTGAATCATTTACAGTGCAGGTCTGATTTTGTCGCCTCTGTGCTTTAAACCTTCCATTTGTTTCCCTTCAGACCCCAGTGTCCTCACTGTGGTCTCTGAGGCCCTGAGTGATGGGGAACCTGGCTGTCTCTCCAGCCTTATCTCCTGCTGCCCTTCTCTTCCCAAATTCTGCTCCAGTGACACTGGCCTCTTTGCTATTCCTTTTAACACACCTTGCAT